AAAAAAAAAAAAGTAGGCAGGTGTGGTGGCACACACCTGTAATTCCAGCTACTTGGGAGGCCAAGGCAGGAGGATGGCTTGAGCCTGGGAAGGTTGAGGCTGCAGTGAGCCCTATGCTCACACCACTGCACTCCAGCATAAGCAACAGAGCAAGATCGTCTCAAAAAAAAAAAACAAAAAAAACCCAACACCTGACTGGGTATGGTGGCTCACACCTGTAATCCTAGCATTCTGGGAGGACGAGGCAGGCGGATCATGAGGTCAGGAGATCGAGACCATCCTAGCTAACACGGTGAAACTCCATCTCTACTAAAAATGCAAAAAAATTAGCCAGGCACCACTGATGGTGGGCGCCTGTAGTCCCAGCTACTTGGGAGGCTGAGGCAGAATAGCGTGAACCTGGGAGGCGGAGCCTGCGGTGAGCCGAGATCACGCCACTGCACTCCAGCCTGGGCGACAGAGCAACACTCTCTCAAAAAACAAAACAAAACAAAAAAACCATCCCACAGACCAAATTTGTCCCACCACCCGTTTCTGTAAACAATATTTCACTGAGACGTGACCATGCTTATTTGTTTGCCTACTGTCTAAAGCTGTTCTTGCACTAGAAGGACAGAGTAGCTGTGAAAGAGACTACAGAACCTGCAAAGCCTAAGACAGTTCACTATCTCGCCCTTTACATACAACATCTGCCGGCTCTTGTTTTACAGTTTACTTAGGAAACATCATTTCTGCCTTCAGGTGAGGAAATGACAACTTTGTAACCCTACAGGATCCCAGGTGAGACGCCACAGGTAAAAATTAACAGCTGCTATCATATTGAAGAGATTCAGGAAAGTCTGTGAACTGTCACATGATGAAAAGGTTTGTTTACAGCAGTACTTGCTGAATTTCTCTCAAAATCCTGTTCTTAGGCCGGGCACAGTGGCTCATGCCTATAATCCCGGCACTTTGGGAGGCTGAGGCAGGAGGATCACTTGACCTCAGGAGTTCATGACCAGTCTGGGCAACACAGTGAAACCGTCTCTACAAAATATACAAAAACTAGCCAGGCATAGTGATGTGTGCCTGTGGTCCCAGCTACTTGGTGGGCTGAGGTAGGAGGATCACTTGAGCCCAGGAGGCAGAGGTTGTAGTGAGCTAAGATTGCACCACTGCACTCCACCCTGGGGGACAGACTGAAACCTTCTCGCAAAAAAAAAAAAGAAAAGGAAAAAAAAAAAAGAAACGAGAAAGAAAAAGAAAAAAAAACACGCCCTAATTTAAAAAAAATTTTTTTTTTGAGACTGAGTCTTACTCTGTCACCCAGGCTGGAGTGCAGTGACGTGATCTCAGCTCACGGCAACCTCCGCCTCCCATGTTCATGATTCTCCTGCCTCAGCCTCCCAAGTAGCGGGAGCCACCACGCCTGGCTAATTTGTTTTTTCAGTAGAGACAGGGTTTCACCATGGTGGCCAGGCTAGTCTCAAACTCCTGACCTCAAGTGATCTGCCCGCTCCTTGGCCTTCCAAAGTGCTAGGATTACAGGTGTGAACCACTAAGCACGGCCTAAAAGAATAATTTAAACAAACAAACAAACAAACAAAAATTCCAGAAATCCAATTCAATGAGAATTCCAAACAGCAAACTCCTCAATTCCTCTTCAGAGACTCTCAGGGTCACTCTTTTTTTTTTTTTTTTTGAGACAGAGTCTTGCTCTGTCACCCAGGCTGGAGTGCAATGGCACCATCTCAGCTCACTGCAACCTCTGCCTCCTGAGTTCATGCGATTCTCGTGCCTCAGCCTCCTGAGTAGCTGGGGTTACAGGAATGTACCATCATGCCAGGCTAATTTTTCATTTTTAGTAGAGACACGATTTCACCATGTTGGTCAGGCTGGTCTCGAACCCCTGACCTCAAGTGATTCGCCCACCTCAGCTTCCCAAAGTGCTGGGATTACAGACATGAGCCACCGCACCCGGCCGAGGGTCTCTCTTGAGCAGTACCTGAAGCCAGGAGGCGGCACACTCCAACACCGGGATTCGACACACAGCCACCGCCATGGAGACCAGTTTTCCCAACAAGCTCATCCGGCTGTCATCGGCTTTGTTCCCTTGAGGGCTGAAAAGGGATGAAAAAATAATCTGCCGAACAGAGTCCTTGGTTTGCTCCTGGAAATAATTGCACATGATTTCAAGAAGTTGAAGCTCCTGAAGTGAATTCAGTCTCTGCAAAAGAAATCCAGGAAAAGCGTTAAGAAATGTGGCTGAACGTACTTATTAACTCGTACGTTAAAAAAACAGGAAACAGACTGGGCGCGGTGGCTCACGCCTGTAATCCCAGCACTTTCGGAGGCCGAGGCGGACGAATCACAACGTCAAGAGTTCGACACCAGCCTGGCCAACGTGGTGAAACACCGTCTCTACTAAAAATGCAAAACTTGGTCGGGCATGGTGGGTGTGCGCCTATAATCCCAGCTACTCAGGAGGCTTAGGGAGGAGACTCGCTTGAACCCGGGAGTTGGAGGTTGCAGTGAGCCGAGATCGTACCACTTGCACTCCAGCCGGGTGACAGAATGAAATTCCGTCTCCAAAAAAAAAAAAGTAAAACAGGAAAAAAGTTTTTTTCCCCGTAGAACTTTTCGCCCTTCGTAAAGCTCAGGTGTCAGGGAGATCTTTGCTGTTACTCTTAGAAAAAAGTCATATAGGCCAGGCGTTGTGGCTCACACCTGTAATTCCAACACTTTAGAGGCCAAGGAGAGATCTTGAGCCCAGGAGTTTGAGATCAGCCTGGGTAACACAGGGAGGCCCCAGCTCTACAAAACATCCAAAAATTAGCTGGGCATGGTGGTGGTGCATGCCTGTAGTCCCAGCTACTGAGAAGGATAAGGCGGGAGGATTACTTGAGCCCAGGAGTTCAAGGTTGTAGTGAGCTGTGATTGCACCACTGCACTCCAGCCTGGGCAACACAGTGAGACCTTGTCTCACCACAACAAAAAAAAAAAGAGAGAAAAAAAAGAAAAAGATGTAAGAGGAAAGCTATACAGATCATTATACATTCTCCTGGAGGGCTCAGGAAGAGCCTCTCGGTAACAGCCCAACAGACTTCTAGAGAGCGGGCAGTCCCCAGTTTGTCCCTTTAACACCAAGACTCGGCTGTCACACGCCCCGCAGACTGGACAGGCAGCTGAGCAACACTGCAGGACCCGGAGAGGGGTTTGCGGGCTGCTGCAGGAGCGAGGCCAAGCGCGAGCGCGGGGCTC